TTTTAAAAATGAATAAAGTCTAGCCACATGTCAACAGAAATAAGTCATGGAAGCATAAAGCTAGCTGAAATGAGCCAGACAAAAGACACAATGTGAGTTGTCTTATAGTAAATATAAGAGTCACAGTGCTGGAGAGTTGGCTCAGCGGTCTGAGCTCATTCCCTGGAATCCGTCTGGTGGAAGGAGAGAACCAGCTCCCATGAGTTGTCCTCTTACAACACACAATAAGTAAATGTAATTTAAAAACAAATTTTAAAATATTTAACATCACAAAAACTACATTCTACATATTTGGTCACAATATCTGAAATGTTTAATATGCCAAAAACATTGAATCATATACTCTAAAGGGTGAGATTCATACTATGTACACTGTATCTAAATAAAACTGTATAAGGCACAGTGTGGACTCCAACTTCTGATGGCCCCAATGGGAAATCCAGGGGAAGAAATGGAAGGATGTGAACGTCTCACCTAGAGGCTGATACAGGCAGGACAGCAGCTTTGAGGGGTCACCATCAAAGAACAGCTGTGGTTGAGGACAGTCTGGAGGTGAATGTGAGGGCTGGAATGCTGTGGTACTTGCCAGGACTCACTACTCAGCCTGCCAGTCTTTTTATGTGTGGGTGCCCACGTGTACATGTATGAATATATGTGTATTCATGTGTGCTATATTGTATACACATGGTTGAGTGAGGGTGTTGGTGCCTGTGCATGCTCACAGAGGCCAGACAAGGGTGTGGGTGTCCCTCTCTATCCATCTGTGCCTCATTACTTTTTTCGTTTTTGGTCTTTTTGAGACAGGGTCTCCCTGTAGGGCCAGCTGACTTGGAACTCACTAGGTAGACGAAGCTGGCCTTGAAATATCAGAGATCCTCTGTGTTTTATTTCTTTGAGGCAGAGTCTCTAGGTGAACCTGGAGCTGTGCTTTTTGGCTAGGCTAGCAGCCAGCAAGGTCCACTATCCTCCTATCTCTGCATCCTTGGGGTTACCGGCCTGTACAGGACCATGTCTGGCTTGTCACACAGATGCTAGGATCCAAACTCTATTCTGCAAGCATTCTTAAGCATGGAGGCTCCTCTTCGGCCTCATCCCCTAGTCTCTTAAACTCAGAAGCTGGGAGGAAAGGTGTGAAGACACAGAGACACCAGACGACTTCTTTGTAGAACTTTGAACCCCAAATCTCCCAGGACCTCCCTTGCCAACATAGGCATTCCTTCCCCTGTCTAAGGTAGTCAACCTTCTTCCTCACAAAAGCGTCCAGTGATAACCTGAGTGGTGTCCTCCCATAAAGATGTCAGATCTTCTCAGAACCCACCCCCCTGGCTCAGCCCTTGGCAAAAGTCGATCCTGCAGTAGCCTGGAAAATAGCTGTCCTAGGTAGATTTCTATTGTTGTGATAAAATATGTGAAAAAATGAATGGGGAGGGCTGGAGAGATGGCTCAGTGGTTAAGAGCACCGATTGCTCTTGCAGAGGATACTGGTTCATTCCCAGCACCCACATGGCAGCTATGAAACGTCCTTAACTCCAGTTCCAGGGGAATCCGACGTCCTTTTCTGACCTCTGAGGCATTGCACGACATGGATGCACTTACATACATGCAGGCAATACACTCATACATATGAAAAAAAAAAAAACGAATTTGGGGAAGAAAGGGTTTATTTGGCTTGTGTGTTCTGATCACAGTCCATCTTTGAGAAAAATCAGCTCCATCTTTGAGACAGGAACCTGGGGGGCAGGAGCCTAAGCAGAGACCGTGGAGGAACACTGCTTACTGGTTTGATCCCCTGGCCTGTGCTCAACCTGGTTTCTCTCTCTTTATTTTATTTTATTTTATTTTTTTTGGTAGTTTTGAAACATGGCCTCTCTATAGCCCCTGCTGTCCTAGAACTCGCTATGTAGACCAAGCTGGCCTTGAAGTCACAGAGATCTTCCTGCCTCTACCTCCTGAGTACTGGGACTAAAGGCATGCACTACCACGCCTGGCCTCAACCTGGTTTATACAACCCAGGTCCACCTGCCCAGGGGTGATACCATCCACAGTATGCTGGGCCCTCCCATATCACTCAGCAAACAAGAAAATGCCTCACAGATGTGCCCACGGGCCAACTCAATGAGGAAATTTTCCTAATTGAGGTTCCTTCTTCCCAGGTGTGTCAAGTTGACAACTGAAGCTGTCCAGCACATGGTCCCACCTCTTTCTGTCTCACTGTGCCCAAAGTGTTTGCCATGAAACTTCCCATCAAAGGTTAAAGTCTGCAAATGCAAAGGAACAATGACCAGAACACGCATAAAACCAGAACTCTGACCAACACCCACAGCAACCAGCCTCAGAAGCCAACAGTAACAGTAACCCAAGCAGTGACACTCAGGTAAAATGGGCAGTCCTAAACATAGAGCCAACAATCTCCTCTGCCTGCTTCAGTTCTGATTTAGGACCAACAGGAGGGACAAAGCCTACCACATACCCGTAACTAACACCACAGAATGTCCCACCTGTTAACCTGTGTCTCCATCTTCTTGTGTTTCTGCCACTCAGTATCAATGATAAGGCAACTTATAACAAACAGAAATTGAGTCCGCTCACAGTTTTGGAGGCTGCAAATCCAAGATCAGGGTGCTGGTGAATCTGAATCCAAGAAGGCGCTTTGCGTGCTCAGCCCTGCTGATTTCACCTGAAGGAAGGTAGAAGGACCCGCAGAGATAAAATGGACTCAGTGCATCCTTTTATAAGGGAATTAATTCTACACGTGAGGACAGAGACCTCAGTGCCCAATCATCTTTTTTTTAATTTTATTTATTATTTTTATTTTATGTGTATGCGTGTATTGCCTGCATGTAGGTAAGTGTACCCGTGTCATGCAATGCCCATGCAGGTCAGAAGAGGCTGTTGGATACCCTGGGACTGGAGTTACCAACAGTTGTTAGCTGCCATGTGGGTGCTGGGATTCAAACCTGGGTCTTCTGCAAGAACAACCAGTGTTCTTAACCGCTGAGCCATCTCTCCAGCCCCGATTATTTATTTTCTTAACCATCTGTTTTTTTGTTTTATGTATGTATGAGTGAATGCTTGCCTGTGCACCACATGCATGCCTGCTGCCCATGGAGGCCAGAAGAGGGTGTCAGATCCCATGAATCTAGAGTTACAGGAGTTTGTGAACTACCCAACCTGGGTGCTGGAAACCCAACTCAGGTCTTCTGCAAGAACAGTACACGTTCTTGAACAGTTAGCTATCTCTTCAGCTCCTTATCATAGTTATTTTTTATAATTTATTTATTTTTATTTTATATATATGACTGTATTGCCTGGATGTATGTAAGTGCACCTGTGTTGGGCAGTCCTCTAGGAGGACAGAAGAGGGCACTGAATCCCCTGGAACTGAACAGTTATTAGAGATGGTTATGTGGGTGCTGGGACTTGAAGCCTGGGTCCTCTGTAAGAGCAGCCAGTACACTGAGCCATCTCTCCAGCCCCCTGTAGTTGTTCTTAAAGGGTGCATTCAAGCAGGCATCACTTCTTTAGGTGAACATTCTCATACTCAGACTAGAGTGTAGCTCAGCTGGAAACTCTTGGGGTTTGTCTTCAGCCCTGATAAAATAAACAACAAAACTCAATGACTGTAAGACTCAAGGGATAAGGCGTATTTTTAAATGGTCTATGTGGGACTAGAGAGATGGTTCTGTGGTCAAGAGCAGTGACTGCTCTTGTAGAGGACCTGGGTTTGGTTCCTAGCCCCCATGTGGCAACCCAGAATGTTTGTTCCAAGGGATATGGCTCCCTTTTCTGGCCTGTGTGAGCATGACAAAACATGGGCGCACTTACATACATGAGGCAAAACATATATATATACATAAAAATAAACAATAAATAAATTTTAAAATGGTCAGTGAAACCAGGCATAGTGGCCCATGCCTGTAATCCCAGGCTTCAGATACTGATACAGGAGGATCACAAGTTAGAGGGCAGTCTGCGCTATATACAGTAAGATTCTGTCCTCCTCCCTACAAAAAAAAATCAATTAATTCTCAAATATTTTAGCAAGAAGCATGTAAACAAAGCCGAGTGTGGGGGTCTGGTCCTGTAATCCTAGCACAGGGAGGCAGAGGCAGGAGGATTGCCTCAAGTAACAGGCCAGCATGATCTCTGCAATGAGTTCCAGGTCAGCCAGAGCTAGATAATGTGATCCTGTCTCAAACTTCCAAGGTGGGGCCTAGAGAGTTGGCTCAGTGGTTTGGTTCCCAGCATCCACGTGGCAGTAAGAGAAAAAAAACCACAAAACATTGAGATAACAGCAGTTTTCAATCACTCCAATACAAGGCATTGAGCATCAATGATGAGTCAGCTTACCACAGAGACACACAACAGTTTTGAACCAGGGAGAAGCCAGTCTGCCTGTAACCTGGCAAAGGGACTGAAACCAGGGTGCTCTGGCCTCTGATCCAACTTCCCAAGGACAGAAATACTTCGGAAGGAGGGGTGGGAGTGTGGAGCTGACAGGACGGTGGAGCCAATGTCCAGGGTTGGGGTGGAGATCTGGGAGCTTGCAGTTGAGTCTGGGAGCAGGGTGTGCAGTGGGTGTGGTCTGGGGCAGGAAGGTGCTGTTGGGAGGTGCATTCTAGGGCAGTGGGGAAGGAGTGGTTCACAGCAGGGAAGTGTGTCTGGGGAATGTGGCAGAGGCAGAAGCCTCCACTAGAAGGCTGTCATGGCTCCACTGTTGACTGACTTTTCAGAGCTGTGAATTACAGAGTCTGGCCAAAGATTACTGTCCAGAAAGCTCCATGGGTCAAGCTGGTTCCAGCAGGAATAGTCTCATTTCTGACCCAGAGTGGAGTTCTGAGATGGAAGGAGGTAGGAAGAGGGGCCCCGGGGTATCTGCAGCCTAGAGAGGGAGTGGTAATCTGAGCCTTGGTGGGTGACATGGGTAAATCCAGTCTCATGTCCCCTGGGCCACAGAGACACAGGGAGTCAGAGTTTCAATTAGATGATTTTATTGGGAATGTTTGGAGCAGAGGGATGGAGACATGAACTCAGTTGGCCGCGAGGGTCGCCTGAACCCAGGGTATGAGGGCTGTGACTCGGGAGTACACGGCAGGAGTAGAGGTGGAGCAGACATTACTGCCCCAGGACACAATGCCGGCCAGGGTCCAGGCTCCATTCTTCTGGCAGACCAGGGGGCCACCAGAGTCACCCTGCAGGAAAAGACAATGGACTGATCTTCAAGCCTCACAAGGGTACCTGGACCTGGTGGGGCCCAGGGGATAGTGCAGGGCAAATCCGTGGGAATCTCTCAAGTGACAACTCTGCCATGTTCTCCTGCAGGAACCTGACAGCTGCTCTGTGAGGGTCAAAGGGTTCACCAGGTGGCGCCCCTGTGGCAGCACAGGCCAGTGCAGACACTCCTCCCCGTGTTTGTTAGCATCAGCCCACCCTTTCTGGGCACCAGAGAGGAGTGAGGTTCAGTAGCGGGCACAGGGCAACAGGAGCCCAGGGGTCAGTGGGGCTGTGTTCCCACTCCTAGCCTGACTAGGGTTGACCATATCATCCAGTGGGTGGGAGAGGAGGCTGTACCATGCAGGAGGAGACACCACTGGCGCCTGCGCAGATCATTACATCGGTGATCTTGCTGCCCCAATATGCCTTGCAGTCAGCACTGGACACAATGGGCAGGGCCGCCTGCTGCAGCTTAGCGGGAGTCGTCAGGGCTGCAGGGACAGAGGGCATGGAGTCAGGGTTCCTAGGCCCACCAGCACCCTGGAAACCACTGTGGGTCTGTACAAGCATCTGTGGGAACAGCTGTTGTGAGGTTCCTACCCATGGCAGACAGGGGCTGGGCCTCAAGCAGGAATTGCCCTGCCCAATCCCAGGAACCTGGCCCTGTGGCCATGGGTAGTGGGTAGGTGAGATTTCCAGGAAGCATGACCACAGCCGTCATGGGATCACAGACACTCATGATGGGACCTTCAACCATAGGGGTAGGTCTCAGGGTGGTGGAGGGTAGAGAATATGTGTACTTCCTGTTGGGCTTAGGGCTTCCTTCAGATTAATCATCATTATCAATCCTTTCCTTTTGTGTTGGGTGAATAAACAGTGTTAATTTGTTCATTTTGTTTTACGTGTATGATGTCTGCCCGCATGTATGCAAGTGCACAATGTACATGCACTGCCTCTGGAGGCCAGAATAGGGCCTTGGATCTGGAGGAGGTGGGAACCAAACCTAGGTCCTTGGGGAGAGTAGCTAGTGATCTTAACCACTGAGCCACCTCTCTAGCCCCTTAAGATGTAAATTCTTAATTGATACCTGACAATTGTAAGTTTTACAGTTGTTTTTTGTTCGTTGGTTGGTTTTTATTTTTTTCTGCCCCAGGCCCAGCACTGCTGCCCAGGCCACATCACTCACCATTGTACTTGGTCTTGCCCCAGCCAGTGGTGGCACACAGGGTCCCAGCGGGGAAGTCGTCGTCAGCGCTGGGCAGGCACACAGCAGACACAGTGTCAGAGAAGACAGCAGGCTTGGCCAGCTTCAGGAGGGTGATGTCATTGCGGACAGTGAGCATGCTGAACTTGGGGTTCTTGAAAACCTGCAGGTAAGGACCAGATTCCCAGCTGAGCCACTGTGGGGAGGCAGGCTCTGTGGGGTTCCAGGGCACAAGCTCCTTTCCTGGTGGGCCAATCAGAACAGGAGCACAGCGAGTTCTGAGACAGCCCTGTCCTCTTCTCCTTCAAGCAGCCAGGACCTTCCTTCTCCTTCTTGTGATGGCTCCCCCGCCCCTGGCTGAGCCCTGACCCAATCAGCAGCCTTATACCTTTGCGATCTTCAGGACCTGGATGTTCTCATTGTCAGAGTGCTGGTCAAACTCCCCAGCCACCACCACATCAGATGTCCTGGGCATTGAGACACACAGTGTTAGGATGAAGAATGGCCCTGCTACCCTACCCCATCTCAAATGGAGCCCCAAGGCAGCCCAGGCCTTACGTGACCCCACAGTGGGCAGCGGTAACCACCCAGTCCTCACTGATGAGGGAGCCCCCACAGAAGTGGAAGCCAGTGTTATCCTGGGGAAGAAGAGGGGACGGTCAGCAACTTTCCCAGCAGAGTACCTCAACCTGGACAACAGCCCAGAGTTCCCGCTCATGTTCCCAGAATCCCCCTCTCACCTGCAGGGACACCTGCCAGGGCCAGGAGCCAGGGACAGCGTCTTCCCCATTGACAATCCTGGACAGACCAGCGAGCACGGGGTGGATGGCAGGGACGCCACAGCCTGGGCATAGGGGTAGAAGGGAGTAGCTGGAAGAGGGCTATGGCCAGAGCCAGGCCAGGCCTGACCTGACATGTTAGAACTCCTAGACCAGCTCAGTACCCCACCTAGACCATGCCACCTCATCTGGAAATATCTGGCTCCCCTGCAACCTCTAGGCTCAGGGTCCTCCACTTGCAGCGGGCTGACCCCAGTCATCTTCAGGAATGTAGAGAGGCACAGTTGCCCCCATCCCGGCCTGTCCAGTGAGAAGAAGCCAAACATGGCCTGGGCCTCAGACTACCTGGCTCAACTTCTAGGCTGCCCATTTCTGTGACACCTCTCAATTTCTGGAACTGTTTCTCATATGAAATTTGGGTTTCTTAATTCTTTAAGAAAATGAGACTTTCAGCCTGCATACGGGTGTACACCTTTATCCCAGGCCTAGGGAAGCAGAGGCAGATGGAACTCTGTGAATTTGAATCCAGCCTGGTCTACATAGTTCCAGGCCAGCCAGTGCTACACAGTGAAACCCGCCTACAAAAGAAAGAAAGAAAATGGGACTTTGCTTCTACACCATGAAAGAGCACATCATGGAAGTGCTGAGCTAGCAGGAGAAGCAGGCATTCTGGGCATTCCCAGGACACATTTGCTACAAGGACTTGCAGATCTTCACAAGGGCTTCACAGTTGGTCCACACATTGGAGCAGTGTAACCCCTGTGGCCCTGTGACCAGCATCCCCACTCTGCAGTCCTTCTGGCCTGCCTCAGGGCCAGCACCTGCCTCTCCTGTCAACAGGGATGAGAAGAAGACAAGGCATTCACTGATGACTGATAATTTCCCCAGTGAGAATAATATTGTTTTTGGTCTTTTTGAGACATGGTGTCCTTATAGCCCCAGCTTGCCTAGAACTGGCTATGTAGACTAGGCTGGCCTAGATCTCACAGAGATCTGCCTGCCTCTGCCTCCCAAACACTAGGATTGATGGCATGCACCACATATGGCTCACTTTCCATGTTTTTTTCTAGTTATTTTCTTCTCTTTATAAATGGAAAGCAAAATGTTAAGCTGGGTGTGGTGGCACATGCCTTTAATCCAAGCGCTCAGGAAGGTGAAGCAGGAGGACTGCTCCAAGTTGGGGCTTGCCTGAGCTACATAGTGAGTCCCAGGCTAACCTGGGCTACAGAGAAAAACCCTGCCTCAAAAAAGAAAAAAACAAAACAAAAACATCAACAGAAAAAAAAAGAGCTTGATGTTGCCGACATGACAGCTGAAAACCCTGGGGGATGCTGGGAAGGAAGCTGACCCTGGCTGAGACACAGCATCTCCACCTGGGCCACATCTGCATCTATAGACCCAGAGGGGTCCACACCTGGAACAGGAAACAGGGGCTCAGAAAGCCCTAGAAGGACCCCTGTCCTCTCTGTGGCCTCAGGTTGCCAGGCTGGGGGATGAGGCCCAAGCAGGCAGGGAGAGGGGCTCAGCTTTCTTTCAGGACAGAACCCTCCCAGTTCCTCTGTTGGGGCCTGATGGCCACTTGAGGTCCCAGCACTCACCAAAGGTGGCCCCCACAAGGGCAAAGCAGGACAAGAGCCAAAGGAATGCCATGGTGGTAGTCAGGGATGTGGGGCTTACCTGCTCTGGGTCTCTTTTATGTTCCCAGGGTCTGGAAGCCCTGCCCAGTCCCTATGACCCTATCCAGGAAGTCTGAGTGCCACCTCCCCTGTTATCCAGGGACCTTGGGAGGAAATGGGGCTCAATCCCCTATCACAGCCTTCCTGGCTCTTTGCCTGGAACAAGAACCTCTGGGAAAAGAACAGCTGCCCTGATTCAACAGTGCCCATGAGTCTTTGCAATGCCCAGCCTCCCCAAGGCACTGTGTGTATATCCCCACTAGGCCAGGAACTCAGGAGTGGAAGGGCAGCCTTCCTGGGAGGTGGGACAGGGGACTCTGCTGGCCTTGTGTCACAGTGGGGCTTCCCGGCTTTCCCACCATAGGGCTCAAGACACTGGTGGCCAGAAGGCCTCAGACTGGGTGGTGCCTCCTGAGCACCAACGAGGCTGCAGGTTCTCAGCAGTTTCTCTCATCCAGAAGCAAAGAGTTGCTGGGCAGTCAGGACTATCTAGGGATCACCTCGTTCCCACTCCCAATAAACAGTCTTGAGTATGGAGAGGAGAAGCAGGGATGGTCCTGAGGAACAGGACAGCCACCAGTGAGTGTGTTGTGATCAGGGGGATTCCCTCCTGTGAAAATTCCCAACCTATGCAAGTAGTCTTGAGCTGAAGATGTGGCTCAGTTGATGGAGTGCCAGCCTAACATGCCAGACTCTAAAGCCTGGGTTCCATTCCTACCACCTCATAAAGTGGGCATGGTGGGGGGTACCTGTAATCCAAGCACTCAGGAGGTAGAGGCAAAAGGTCAGAAGTTCAAGATCATGTTCAGCTACATAGCAAGTTCTAGGCCAGCCTGGGATATGTGAGATCCTGACTGGTAAAAAAAAAGTCTTTGTAGGTAGTTTTAGTTTCTTTTTAAAAATGCTTCATTTATTCATGCCTGAGGCAGTGCTCAAGGATTAAGAGCAGTGGCTGCTCTTGTAGAGATCCTGGGCTCTGTTCCCAGCACCCATGTCATCTAACAACCTGTGTTCCAGGGAATCTGACAGCCTTTTCTAGCCTCCGTGGGCATTGTACAACATCCATGCACTTACATACATGCAGGCAAAACACTCTATAAATATAAATAAATAAATACATACATACATAAAACATTTTTAGATGATCAATGAAGCCAGGCATGGTGGCCCAAGCTTGTAATCCCAGCATTCAGAGGCTGATGCAGGAGGATCAGTTTGAGGGCGACCTAGGCTATGCACAGTATGGCAGGAGGATCTGTTTGAGGGCAGCCTGGCTATGCACAGTATGGCCCTGTCCTCTCCACAAAAAATTAATGAAATCTGCAACTAACTCTCAAATATTTTAGCAAGAAGCATGTAAACAAAGCAGAGAGTGGTAGCCTGCTCCTGTAATCCTAGCACAGGGGAGCAGAGGCAGACGATGCACCAAGTTCAAGGCCAGCCTGATCTACATAGTGAGTTCCAGACCAGCCAGCACTACATAAGGTGATCCTGTCTCAAAAATCCAAAATGGATGCTGGAGAGATGGCTCAGTGCCTATGAACACTGGTTACTCTTCCAGAGGACTTGGTTTCAGACCCTAGCATCCACATAAAAGTAAACACCCATTTGTAACTCCAGTTCCAGGAGATCTGACTTCTTCCTCTGGCCTCTTCTGACATTGCACAACATGAGTGCACTTACATGCATGCAGGCAAAACACTCGTGCACATATAACAAAAATAAACACAATTTTTTTTTAATCCGAGGTAAATGTGTGTGCATAAGGACATGTGGTAAAATGTTAACAGGTGAATCTAGGTGAATAGTTATTGGAATGATTACTGGCCTAATTTACCAAATTTTATGAAGGGCTGAAAATTTCCAAAAGAAAAGTTGGGAGGAAAATAAACTTTAAAAAATACCTTGAGCCAGGCATGGTGGCGCACGCCTTTAATCCCAGCACTCGGGAGGCAGAGGTAGGTGGATCTCTGTGAGTTCAAGGCCAGCTGGGGCTACAGGGTGACCCTGTCTCAAAAAGACCAAAAAAAAAAAAATCTTGAACGGAGCAGGGCATGGTTGCACATGCCTTTAGTCCTAGCACTTGGGAGGCAGAGGCAGAGGCAGGCAGATCTTTGTGAGTTGGAGGCCAGCCTGGTCTACATAGTAAGTATTACAGGGAAAGACTAGCAGTTGGTTGCTGTAGCACTGACAACAGCCACTAACACACTTACACTGTGATAGTCTGGAACAGGCTGTGCAAGTGGGTCCTCAACTAGCAGCAACTCTGCCGTTATCTCTTTGGGGGCTTCCTTTTCCAGTCAGCTGGAAAGAAGAAATGGAGGTGTCAGTTGGGAAACTTCCCTATGCAGAGCCTAAAAGTGGAGAATATCAGACACTCCACTGGCCAAGCTAGATCCTAGATGACATGATGGTGACCACTGCAATGGACTGTGGGAAATGTAGTCTAGCTGGATGTCCAGGAAAAAGGAGGCCGTTTGTTTACCTAAGCAGTAAGCTCTTTGAGTTTAAGTAGGAGGTAGAGTTCAGGAGTTGGGGGGCTGGAGAGATGGCTCAGCAGTTAAGAGCACTGGCTGTTCTTGCAGAAGGGGTTCAAATTCCAGCACCCACATGGTGGCTAACAATCATCTGTAACTCCAGTTCCAGGTGATTTGACACCTCTTCTGTCCTCCTTGGGTACTGCACGACACGGGTGTACTTGTACACATGCAGGCAAACACATAAACATAAAATGAAAACAACAAAATATTATAAAAATAAATAAATACTTTTTTTGTTCTTGCAGAAGGGGTTCAAATTCCAGCACCCACATGGTGGCTAACAATCATCTGTAACTCCAGTTCCAGGTGATTTGACACCTCTTCTGTCCTCCTTGGGTACTGCACGACACGGGTGTACTTGTACACATGCAGGCAAACACATAAACATAAAATGAAAACAACAAAATATTATAAAAATAAATAAATACTTTTTTAATTAAGAAAAAAATTTTTTAAAAAGAACACAGGTGTTGAGGACACAGGGAGCTGGAGAGGAGAGGAATCCTGGGTGGAGAGCGTCAGAGCTGGAGAAGAGAGGAATCCTGGGTGGAAAGTGTCGGGGGTGTACATGCAACACGGGGGGAAATATGCTGTTTTTCAGCAAGACAGTGGGATCTGAGAGCAATCGTTTTCATTTAAGAAAGCATTTCCCAGGACTGGAAAGATGGCTCAGCGGTTAACTGTCTGTAACTCCAGTTCCAGGGGATTCAGTGTTCTCTTCTGGCTTCTGTGGGCATTGGATGACACAGGGACATTTACATACATGCAGGCATAAGACTCATTCACATAAAAAAATAAAAATAAAAAAATAAAATAAATAAGAAATAAATAAATCTGTCTATCTCTATCACTCTCACTGGACTTCTCACTGACCCAGGAGCTCACCGATTTAGCTAGACTGGCCGGAAAGCAAGCCCCTGGGATTCTCCTGTCTCCAACTTCCAATGTTGGGATTATAGGCACACACTGCCACACCCAGCTTTTTTTCGGTGCTAGGAATCTGAACTCAAGTCCTCATACCTGCATAGCAAATGATTTACCACTCCACTGAGCCATCTCTCAGGGTCTCATGTAGCCCAGGCTAGCCTAGAATGTGCTATGTAAAGGAGGCCAGCCTTCAATTACTGATCCTTCTGTCTCCACCTCCAAAATGTTGGAATTACAGGGGTGAACCACCACACACAATTTACACAGTGCTGGGGATTGAATCTAGGGCTTCATGCACGCTGGGCAAGCACTCTACTAAGCAACACTCCTCGACTAGCAATGTTAACTTTTTAAATTTATTTTATGTATATGAGTGTTTTGTGTGCATGTATGTAAACATACCGTGCTATGCAATATCTGCAGAGCACAGAAGGTGTCAAGTCTCTTAGAACTGGAATTACAGACAATTGTTAACCACTTTGTAGGTGTGGGGAAGAGAACTGGGGTCCTCTGCAAGAGCAGCCAGTGCTCTTAATCACTGAGCCATCTCTTCAGCCCTCCTCGCTACATTTTTTTTTTTTGGTCTTTTTGAGACAGGGTCTCCCTGTAGCTGCAGCTCCTGGAACTCACTCTGTAGACCAGACTGGCCTCGAACTCACAGAGGATCCCCTGCCTTTGCCTCCTGAGTGCTGGGATTAAAGGTATGGGCCACCATGCTTGACTCTCCACCTTTGAAACTGGGTCTCTCACTGAACCTGAAGCTCATTGATTTGGTTCGGCTGGCCAGTGATCCAGGGATCTGCTTGTCTCCTCCCCCACCAAACCTCATTATCACAGGGGTAATGTGTGAGCCAACTTACTGAGCTTTTACATGGCTGCTGAGGACCCAAACTCAGGTCCTCTTGCTTTTACAGCAAGCACTTTACCAGCTGAGTCATCTCCCCAGCCATCACCTCATCATGTCTCCATTCAATGGATAAGGAAACCAAGGCTCTGAGAGGTTAAGTGCTCTACCTAGACCCCACATACCAAAGATTCTTTACCCTTCTGAAGACCTGCACAGTCCCTCAGGGCAGCTCTACCTGTTGCTGGGACCACATTCATCAGCCACAGAGAACCTCAGGCTGAGGTCACCAAGCCCTTAGAACTGGGAGAAATTCAGCTCTGCTTCAGCTTCTCTCCTGGTACTAACCAGGCAAGGCTTCACGGCCTGCTTCCATCATCAAGATGACGTAAGGTGTCAGGACAGAATTTTATACCTATTCCTGACTAGCTGGAACTCACTAGGTAGACCAGGCTGGCCACAAACTCATAGAGATCTGCCTGCCTCTGCCTCCTGAGTGCTAGGGTTAAAGGCATTGGCCACCAACCTGGCTTGACTTTTTAAAAATAATCGACTCTTCTCAAACCTTAGTACCCCACTCCTTTCCAGACACAGGCAAGCTTTGGTCTGTTCCTAGAAGGACCTGATGACCATTAGGTGACAGGGTGGCTTGACCCATACACACAATGTGGTTTAA